ATTTAATTGTCGTAAGGCTCAAGGAACAGGGATTTGAAACACAGCCTCCTGAATCTCAGTGCTCTGATGCAATGGGCTCGGCAGGACCTTAGGTCACAGGCACAGCAGAATTCAAAAGGCTCTTTCTATCCAGTTTACTACTACAGGACCCAGTTCTCCAATCTAATGAAGGCATTCACTGTTCCATGTAGAAATGACGGTTTTGAAGCTATTTCATGAGTAAAAGAGAGCTTTCTCCTCTTAGAGCTCACCTCCGAGGTTGAGTTCTAAGAGGAGAAAGTCCAGCTAAATTCTAGGCCTTTTCAGAAGCTTGTCCTTGCTAAGGCTGCTCCAGTCTCCAGGCAAAAATTTAATTTCTGGTCCAATTGCCTTGGCTACCTCACCCATTCACCATGTAATCAGCACTGGTCCCTCAGAAAACATTCCCTCTGAAGTGCCAGCATCCTACTCCCAGTCCTTTCCAGATGAAAAAATGGAAAAAGGATTTTTTTGGTTTTTGCTCCTCAAATGCCTTGAGGGCACTTTTGACATGCTAGAGTGTTGTGGGGATCGAACTACAGCAACCTGAGGCTGACAGCTTTGTGGAAGAACTGAACTAGGGCCAGGCCCCTGAACAGAACACTCTTGCTCAGCCCTTTGTTGTTATGGCCAACAATGGGACCCAGCTGCACCAGGCCAAACATCCCCAGGTGTATCTCATTCTCTTCACTGTAGGATTTTAGTTTCCAAGAGTGAATCTTTGGTGTATAAATTCCCAAGAGTATTTAGGCCCTTGGTGAAGGGGACCCTCCTAAGTGTTTTCACCTGGACAACCCCCAACAGGACTTCCGCTCCCCAATTCAACTGGAAAAGTCATTCAGGAATACATCACAAGGAGGTGAGTCTCCGTGGAAATAGTTTTGTGGAAAATTCTTTCATCGAGTTCCATGTAGAGAACAAATGGAGATGGATATCTTTTTAATTTCCTTAAAAATTAAAAAAATAAATTTAATTTATGAAAAAATGAGTATAATGCGCCGGGGAGTTGGCTCAGTGGAATAAGCTCTTCCCTGGCAAGGGCAAGGGCCTGAGTTCACTTCCTTGTTCTGCCAAATAAAGAAATTATTTTTAATTATTTTAAATTAATTGTGGTAAGGCTCAAGGAACAGGGATTCTAAAGACAGCTTCCTGAATCTCAGTGCTCTGTCTCAATAGGCTCGGTAGGACCTCAGGTCACAGGCACAGCAGAATTCAGAAGGCTCTTTCTCTGCCCTTACTGCTACAGGACCTAATGCGCCAGTTTAGTGAAGGCATTCATCGTTCCATGTAGAAATGACGGTTTTGAATCTATGGGACTAGAAAAGAAGTTTCTCCTCTTAGAACTCACCTCCGAACTCTGGAGGCTGAGTTCTAAGAGGAGAAAATCCAGCTAAATTCTGGGCCTTTTCAGAAACTGGGCCTTGCTAAAGCTGCTCCAGTCTCCAAGCAAAAACTGAATTTCTGGTCCAAATTCTTTTGGCTACCTCACCCATTCACCATGCAATCTGCGCCTGTTTCCTGAGAATACATTCTCCCTGAAGTTCCGTCCTTCCACTCCCAGTCCTGTCTAAGAAAAATTGTTATAATGATTATTATTATTATTATTATTATTTGCTCCTCGAATGCTTTCAGGGCACTTTGGGCAGGCTAAAGTGTTGTGGGAATTGAAATACAGCAACCTGAGGCTGACAGCTTTGTGGAAGCAGCCACTGAAAGGACTGAGCTAGGGCCAGGCCCCTGACTAAATCACACTTGCTGAGATCTTTCTTCTCAGTGCCACAATGGGACCCCGCTGTGCCAGGCTTGACAGCCTCAGGTGTAACTCATTCTCTCAACCTTAGGATTTCAGTTTTTAAGGGAGAATCTTTGGTGGAAATACCCGAGAGTGTCTAGGCCCTTGGTGAAGAGGACCCTCCTAACCCTTTTCCTTTAGACAGCCCCCAACAGGACTTCTGTTCCCCAATTCAACTGGAAAAGTCATTCATGAATATATCATGGGCAGTTGAGATTCCGCAGAAATAGTTTCATGGAAAATTCTTCCATAGAGTTCCATGTAGAGAACAAGTTTAGATGGATTTCTTTTCAATTTTCTTAAAATATAAAAAAAAGGAATTTAATTGATGAAAAATTGATTATAATGGGCCGGGCAGTTGGCTTAGTGGAATAAGCTCTTCCCTGGCAAAGTCAAGGCCCTGAGTTCAATTCCTGGTTCTGCGAAATAAAGAAATTACTTTTAATTATTTTAAGTTAATTGTGGTAAGGCTCAAGGAACAGGGATTCGAATCACAGCCTGCTGAATCTCAGTGCTCTGATACAACAGGCTCAGCAGTACCTCAGGTCAAGGGCACAGCAGAATTTGGAAGGCTCATTCTTTCCCCTTTACTGCTGCGGGACCCAATGCACCAGTCTAGTGAAGGCATTTACCATTCCATGTAGACATGACGCTTTCGAAGCTATGGGATGAGAAAAGAGATCTTTCTCCTCCTAGAACTCACCGCCAGAAGAATTCGGAGGCTGAGTTCTAAGAGGAGAAAGTCCAGCTAAATTCTAGGCCTTTTCTGAAGCTGGGTCTTCCTAAGACTTCCCTAGTCTCCAGGCAAAAACTGAATTTGTGGTCCTAATTCTTTTGAGTGCCTCACCCATTCACAATGTAATCCATGCCCGTGCCCTGAGAATACATTCTCCCTGAAGTTCCAGCCTCCAACTCCC